GGGGACTTTCCGTATGATTGCCAGTAACAGATAGGTCTGAGAGCTTAAATCCAGCTTAAAGACCGTTATTGATCCTAAAAAGAATGACCATGCTGTGCATGGCATATTTTCAAGCCAGATTCTCTTTCTAAGAAGAAAACATAGTTCCTCAGACATAATACGTGATGCTAGAACTTTATAAAACAAATGATTATTTTTAATCGTTTATTTTTATGTATTTCATTTGGACTTGAATGTATGGTATAACTTATTTTCTATCTTCTTATAGAGGAATATTGTTATATATCATTATCACATGATATATATATATATATATATTTGTGTCTACACACATATCTGCTTTTTATTTATTTATTTTTGACAAGGAGCTTGGTGATGCTGTGGGTTAGGCATTGGGCTATTAATCACAAGATCAATGGTTCAAACTCACCAGCATGTCTGCAGGAGAAAGATGAGTCTGTGCAAAGAGTGACAGTCTCAGAACCCTGATACAAGGCTGTCATCAGCCAGAATCGATGCAGCGAGTCTTTTGGTCATATTTATGCTCACGTATTTTACAGTTATATAGCGCCTTTTTATGAGACAATGACTATAACCTGCCAAGGTGGGCATGGTGGTTATCATCTCTAGTTTATAGAAGAGGAAGTTAAAGGTGAACGAGGCTATGATTTTGCCTTAAGATATACTAAGTGGATGAACTGGGATTAGAAACCTGGCTTGTGGCTTTCCCCCGCTACACCAGTGTGCAGTCACAGGATCTCTGCTTTTGTACCAGTGGGTTTGGGCTGATGGAAAGGAATGCCTCTTAGTATAAACTTCGCCATATGGAGGAAACAACAACCTCAACCTAAGACAAAAAAAGAATTTGGAACCATGAAAGGTTGCAACGGCAGAGCATGTGGCAGACATTCTTCCATTACTGATTGCCTTTTCAAATTAAATTTATAGCAGCACATTTTCATTTATGAAAGTGACAGAAACAGCTTCTGCAGAGAGCGGGCATGTGGTTGGATGCGTAATGAAGAGGTGGTTGTCGGAGCTGAGGCTACTACCCAATGCATTGCAGCTATTCTGACTTGTTAGCACATGCAAGTGGGGCAGTAGTTAAAAGAAAAAAAAAAAACAACCATGGGAGTTGATCCCTGATGAAGATAACACACAGTCAAGGAGGCTATGATAAATCAGGAGAGAGAGAGAGAGAGAGAGAGAGAGAATCCAGTAGGTTCAGAGAGGCTGTTGAAACCTTGATATTAATGCAAGCTTTTTGGAAAGTAAAGTAAAGAGAGGGAGGTTTTTTGTAGATTTTACCTGTGGTTATCACAAATCTAAGGATCTTGATCTTTGCAGTTTTGCTTTTACCATTGTCCTTTTATTTCCTTCCATATAGAAAAACTCAATCTTAGTTAGGTAGCAAGTGGGAATCTATGCTACAATGATATTAAGTCAAATTAAACGAGAAAGGGACATTTGCTTAAAAGTGCATGGAAATGAAAGTATGGAGGGCATTTTAATATTCATTGTCATATTTAATCTAATTCACAATTAAGTCACACAAAAGCTTTCTAAGCTTCGATGTTCTTTTAGCTATAATTTTTCCAGGCCAACAATCCATATATTACAGAACCGGGGAGAAGATTAAAAGGAGAGCTCACCAGAGATTACTTATTAACATGTATTCTCTAGAAATTGATTTGTCTCTATTTGCGCTATCATTTGTTGAAATTAGCCTTTGGCATGAGTGAAATTACAGAGGTGCCATGTAACAATTCTACGTCTAAATTGGAGGAAAATTTATGATTGCCATGTCTGGTCTTGGCACCATTTACACATAATTGCCAAAAATCTGTTCTAACTATAATTTTATTGTCCTCAATTTTTATTGTGTGTCTATGTAAAGCACAGTAGTAGATGTTTATTAGCTTGAGAGATTAATGTGATTCGGATGTGCCCTTAAGAATCTTACCAAGCATTATTATTGATTTGAGGAGCTATAACCTACCCGCCCACGGGCATGGAGTAAATCCGATTCACAGGGACCCGATACAGGACAGAGTGGAACTGCTTCCTAAGGGTTTACAATACTGTAAAAATGTATAGGAACAGACAGCCTCCTCTTTCTCCTCCCGAGAGACTGTTAGGTTTAACCAGGGACCTTGGGTTTAGTACCACCAGGGCTCTTTGGTATAAGTACTACGTAAATAGTAGGTGGCTGGGGGAACAGAAGTTAGCGTGTTAGCATTTCATGAACATCTATTGCGTTCCGGGGTTTGCCCTCCTTACCTAATCCTCTCCCCAGTTCTGTAATATATGTATTGTTGGCCTGGAAAAATTATAGCTAAATAGAACATTGAAGCTTAGAAAGCTGTAGAAACTTGCTCGGGATAGCACAGCTCACTGAGATTCAGGTCTAGTTTTGAATACAACTTGTTTTCTTGTCACTGAATTTCCCTAGTGAGACTTGGGAGCAAGAAGTTCTAGTGGAATGGGGAGACCTGACAGAGTTTCACGAAGTAGATGGCGTTTATGCTGAATTTTAGGAATGCTGGGTAGGATTTGTTTAAATGTGCTGCAGCAGCAGAGTGAGAAATATTGTAGGAAGTAGAAGCAAAGCAGACAGAGATTCTAATGCACTGCTTTGATTGGAACAAACACTCAGTATTTGCTGGTTTATTTTTTTCCTTCACCAGGTACTATTGGGCACCTTCAATAGCTGAACTCTGAAGGTACTTCCATTATTATGTAGTGTCCTGTAACCTCTGGGACGCACCATGAAGGAGGCCCCGGAAGTGTGAG